CAAGTCTCTACTTCAAGTCTCTACTTCAAGTTACAAATTGTGTCAATACAAAATTCGTAACAGAGTCTCAGAGAATTAACCCCACACATAAAGATGGAGGTTAAATTACATGACTGGATCACATCCTGTTGACTTGGAGAATTGCAGTGAGAAACCAGACAGGTTTCAGGACAGGATTTCAGATATTTCAGATGTACTCTTCACATTTCAGAAACATGAGAATTGCCAAAATTTGTCTTTTTTTTTTTCAAAATGGCAGACTTCCTGTAGGTTTTAGAATATGGTGCCAAGAGACTTTTTTGTCAGTACTGGACTGATGTACCTATATGTACCAAATTTCATGAGTATGTTTAAGTTACAAGAGGGGCTAAGATTTAGAGAGTGCTAGAGAGCCAATTTAGCTCTGGGGCTTTGTGCTTCCCCATATTTATGCTAGTTCTATGTAACGGTCAAGTTTCACCATGCTCAGCACACACTCAGAATGTGGTGGAAAAAAGCCTCAGATTGGCAGAAAAATAATAATAATTAGGTCAAAAACAATAGGGCCTTCTGCTGTTCCACAGTGCTCAGGCCCTAATATGTTTAAAATTGTGAGCTTTTAAGTTTTAATCATTTTGTGGACCCTAAGAAAACCCATAACAAAGTGTTGCTGTAAGACATGCAGGAAACAAGAAAGTCTTCTCACCACTGTCCATCTTCTCCCTCCTTCACCAGCTGCACTGTGTCTCCACCCTTCACCGAGAGCTCTTGATCACCTCCCATTTCGTGGTCAGCCGTCACAGTGTATTTACCAGCACACTGTTTATAAAATAGAAACATTTGCAACCTTACAAAATTGTAAATAGCTGTAAATAATAAGATAACTGAGACCTAGAAAAATCACTACAAAACCTAAGTGATATAAAAAAACAACAAAAAGAGTTAAGTTTGAAGAAAAATCACAAAGAAGCAAAAACAAACTCATTGACACATTCTCCTCACAGAGATTATGATTACAAAGCAGATGTTTGGCACAGAGTCTCACCAGCTTCTTGATACTTTCATCTTCTGGGTCAGAGTTAAGAGGGTCATCAGTGCTGGAGTAGCCCTCATGTTCCTCCGAGGCATCCAGAGACATAAAAGTCTTATTCCATCCTGAAAAAAAAAAGCAAACTCAAGTTTTGAGTTTAAAGCTTCAGGTTCTGTTTTCTGACATGTGTGAGAAATGACCCTCTTTCAAGAGAAAATATAAAGAGGGCTAAATCCAGAAAGCACACAATGACTAAATCATAACAACTATGAACAAAGAGTTGTAAGATTTTGGAAGTTGGCAATTGTTTCCTTCACAAGCAGATTAATCTATGATTTTCTCTGTAGTTGGGCATTGGGCAGGCACCATCTGTAAACTTCTCCAGAGGCTAGAGGTGCTGAACCACCTGGCTCTGGTCCGTTGGAGAAAAGAATGACCAGGATTTGAGGAACACGGGTCTCAGCTGACCCCTTACCTTGCAATAGCTCTAGCTCACTTGTGTTAAACTCAGTGGTGGAGAAAGTACTATAAACAGACAAAAATGTACTCTAGTAAAAAGTAAAAGTACCACATCAACATTTTTACTTGAGTAAAAGTAAGTACTGTAAGTACTTGCTTTTAAAAATAGTTAAGTATTAAAAGTAAAAGTACTTGCTTAATGTATTCCCTTTTTTTTGAAGGAGGGTCTAATGATACTTTCCTGCTTTGCATTGCTTCAATGGACCAATTACAGAAATTCCCCTCTCGCTACTGATTACTTTCAAACTAAACAAACAAACAAATGAACAAAAAAAAGGTAATGCAACATGACATGAATGTAATTTGTAATTCAACGCATTACTGAAATGTAGTGGAGTAGAAAGTACAGATACTTTATGTAAAATGTAGTGGAGTAAAAGTAAAAAGTACCCATGATGAAATCTACTTAAGTAAAGTACAGATACATGATAAATATATTTAAGTACAGCAACAAAGTGCTTGTACTTAGTTACATCCCACCACTGGTTAAACTCAAGACCTGTGGGCCTAATCTGGCCCTTGTTGACATTTAATTTGGCCCTAGATGTAATACTATAAATGCAAAGTAGTTTTATGGTTTCTTTTCTTTTTTTGGCACTGAATTTAATGCAATATTGTCACAGCAGCTTGCCAACTTTCAAGCAAAGAAAAAAATTAATTCTGTAATCTTTGATTTGGTGTGGAAAGAGAAAAATCAACTTTAATTATTGTGTTTGTATTTTCTTCTTATTTTATTGTCAAGTAATTGGAGTTTTAGTTAGGGTTTCATTTTTGAACCGATTTGCTGGATTGTGATAAAATGTATCTTTAAGATACTGTATAATAAAGCCAAAAATATTTATGATAGAGAGTAAGGCATACGAAGTGAATGCTAATGACGTGTCTTTCGAAAAGTAATCTTTTTTTTACTTTTTTGTTATGTATAGATATATGTGTGTACACACACACACACACACACACACACACACACACAC